TAACAGAATAAAAAGTAAAATACAGTTAGTAAAATAAAAAGTATATCAGGAATAATTAAAATGTAAGTGAAACAACTGCAACAAGGTAAATCAGCACCACAATAAAAAAAAGAAAAAGAAAGCTGGGGGCACAAGCCAAAAGTTGCAGAAAAATAACAAGGTATAAAGAATAAAATAAAATTAGAAAAATTAGAAAAATATCTATATAGATGAAAGAACAACAAGGTAAAGCCGAACCACAACCTAAGAAGAAAGGCTAGAAAAGGCCTTGGCTGTGGGGGGCAGTGTGGGGTGGTGGGGCTCAGGCTCAGGACCTGCTTAGCCGCGAAAGGCAGCACATCTGGAGGGGGGCCTTGGAGTGTGGGTTCAGAGGTAAGGTCATGGTTGGGGGCGTGGAGGCAGGGTGTAGGCCCAGCACAGTTGGAGGATGTCTTGGAGGGCAGAGGATGAGGCCTGGGAACCTCACTTGGGCCTCTCCGGGACCCTAGTGGGCAGGGGAAATGCTGACCCTGTTCCCTTCTGATAATCTACTCTCCCAAGTGTCTCCCCCGTCCCTGTTGATCCCCTAACCATGGGTGGGCCCCTCTGGGCATGGGAACCCCTTGCCTCCCCCAGCCACCCCACAGGGGCACTGGTCTGTCTCACCTCCACTTATCCTCCCCCCTTCCTCCTCCCCATGTCCTACCCAGTTGCTCATGGGTTCTTCCCATCCCCTTAGGTGTCCGTGGTCCCCCACCAGTGCCTGGCAGGTACCCTAGTTGTGCAGAGATGCAAACTCCACATCCTCCTAGTCCACCATCTTGACTTCACCCCACAGTCTTTATTTTAAAGTCTATTTAGTCTCATATGAGTATTATTATTCCAGCTTTCTTTTGATTTCCATTTGCATGGAATACCTTTTTCCATTCTCTCACTTTCAGTCTGTGTGTGTCTCTAGATCTGAAGTGAGTCTTCTGTAGGAGCATATATATGGTTCTTGTTTTTGTATCCACTCAGCCCCTCTATCTTTTGGTTGGAGCATTTAGTCCATTTACATTTAAGGTAATTATTGATATGTATGTTCTTACTGCCATTTTGTTAATTGTTTGGGGTTTGTTTTTATAGGTCTTTTTCCCCCCTTCTTTTGTTCTCATCTCCTGTGATTTGATGACTATCTTTAGTGTTATGTTTGGATTCTTTTTTCTTTTTTTGTGTGTATATCTATTATAGGTGTTTGTTTTGAGGTTACCGTGAGCTTTTTATGTAGCAGTCTGTGTGTGTGTGTGTGTGTGTGTCTGTGTGTGTCTGTGTATGCATGATTTAAGTTGCTGAGCTCTTAATTTCAAATGCATTTTAAAAATCTTACATTTGTACTCTCCTTCCTTCATGATTGGTGTTTTTCATGTCATATTTTACAGCTAATTGTTTTGTGTATCCCTTAACTGCTCATTGTGGTTATAGATTATTTTACTACTTTTGTCTTTTTATCACCCTACTAGCTTTGTGTGTGGATGATTTCCTACATTTTCTGTATGTTTGCCTTTGTTGATCATTTTGATTTTATAATTTTCTTGTTTTTAGTTGTGGCCTTTTTCATCAGGAGAAGTTCCTTTAACATTGGTTGTAAAGTTGGTTTGATGGTGCTGGACTCTTAGCTTTTGCTTATCTGTAAAGCTTTTGATCTCTCCATCAAATCTGAATGAGAGCCTTCCTGGGTAGATTATTCTTGGTGGTAGGTTTTTCCCTTTCATCACTTTAAATATATATTTCTACTCCATTCTGGCCTTCAGTTTCTGCTGAAAAATCAGCCAGTAACTTAATGGGAATTCTGTTGTATGCTATTTGTTGCTTTTCCCTTGCTGCTTTTAATATTCTCTTTATATTTAATGTTTGTCATTTTAATTAGTGTGTCTTGGTTTCTCTTTGGGTTAATCCTGTATGGGACTCTATACTTTCTGGCCTTGAGTGACTGTTCCTTTCCCAGGTTAGGGAAGTTTTCACCAGTCTCTCTCTCTCTCTCTGTCTCTCTCGTCCTTGTGGGACCCCTACAGTGTGAATATTAGTGTGCTTGATATTGTCCTACAGGGCTCTTAAACTGTCCTAATTTCTTTTCATTCTTTTTTCTTTTCAGTAGCAGTGCTTTCCACTACTCTATCTTCAGCTCACTGACCTGTTCCTCTGTATCATTTAGTCTAATGTTGATTCCTTCTATTGTATTTTTCATTTCAGTTATATTCTATATCTCTGGTTGGTTGTTCTTTATATTTTCTAACTCTTTGTTAAAAACTTCTGACTTCTTGCTCTGTACGTCCATTCTTTTCCCAAGTTCTTTCACCATCTTTACAGTCATTACTCTGAACTCTTTCTCAGGTAGATTGCCTATCTCCGCTTCACTTAGTTGTTCTTCTGGGGTTTTATCTTGTTTCCTCGTCTGGAACATGTTTCTTTGTGGCCTCATTTTATCTAAGTTGCTATTTCTATTTTTATGTATGTGGTAGGTTAGTTATGTTTCTGTACCTTGAAGAAGTAGTCTCCTGTAGGAGATGTCTTATGCATCCCACTGCGCACTCCCCTCTCGTCACCCATGCTATATGCTCTATAGTTTCCCCCTAAGAGGGCTGCATTGGTTCTTCAGTTTTGATGAGCTACGTGGGTGGTCTGGTAGGCTTGGTTGGCCCCTAGCCCAGTTGGTTGCCAGGCACCTGCCTTGTGCAGATGCTGCTGGTTAGTGGGACCTGGTCACAAGGTAGCAGATTACAAAACCTCAGGGTCCCCAGGCCTAGTGCTGGCTCACTGGTGGACAGAATCAGGGTCCATAAGACTCCAGGGCTGTTGCCCTACCACTGGTGGGTGAAGCCAGGTTCCGGGGTTAGTGTTGGACTAGTGGCAGGCAGAGCTGGGTCCCAGAGTCTGACAACAGGGCCCAGGAACTTCAGAGCTGTTGTCAGATTGCTGAGCAGGAGGTGGAGGGATCCTGACACAGTTGGGTATGGGGTCCGAGGTGTCCCAAAGCTTGTGTTGGCCTGCTGGTAGACAGAGCTAGGGCTTGGGTGAATCCTGGGGTCTGCCCGCTGGTGGGCAGCATCAGGATACAGGAGATCCTGGGGTTCTGTCAGGCCCACTGGTGGATAAAGCTGGGTCATGGGGATAGTGCAGGCCCATTGGCTAGCTGAGCCGTGTCCTGGGGCCTCTGGCTTCAGGGCCTACATTCTCAGAACTGGTTTTGGACCATTGGTGGGTTGGCTGGTTCATGACACAGCTGGCTATGGGGCCTGGGGTGTCCCAAAGGTTGTGTTGGCCCACTGGTAAGTGCGGCCTGATCCTGGGGTAATGTCTAAGGGGCCCAAGTTGTCTCAGAGCTTTTATTGTCCCCCTGGTGGTTGGAGGACCAGCAAGTCCTGGGACTGGTGCCAACTGCTGGTGGCTGGGCTGGGTCCTGGCATAGCATGCAGTGGTTGTTCTGGGGCTGGTGTCTGTCTACTGGTAGGTGGGGTTATATTTCCACCCAGCTAATTGCTTGATCTGAGGTGATCCAGTACTTGTGCCTATAGGCTGGTGAGTAGGGATAGAGCTGGGGCTGGGTCCCATGCCTAGTAAGCTAGAGGGAGGATTCCAAAATGGTGCTTTGCAGCACCAGTTTCAATGTGGTAGCATTAACTCCCAAAAATGGTTGCCACCAGTGCCTGTGTCCCCAGGGGAACTCCATTTGCCTCCTGCCTCTCTGGGAGACTCCTCAAGATCACCAGTAGGTCTGACCCAGGCTCTGTTTAAATTACTGCTGCTTCCCTGTGTCCCAGAGCATGTGAAATTTTGTGTGCACCCTTTAAGAGTAGGGTCTTTCTTTTCCACAGCCCTCTGGGTCTCCCGAAAGTAAGTTCCTCTGACCTTCAAAACCAAACGTTCTGGGGTCTCGTGTTCCTGGCACAGGACCCCTGGGCAGGGAAGCTTGATGTGGGTCTCTTACCTCTTGCTCCTTCTGGAGAACCTCTATACTTACAATTATCTTCCCATTTGTAGGTCTCTTACCTCAGGATCTGGGTCTTGACTATACTGCAGTTTCTCCCCTCCTACCCATCTAGTTGTGGTTCCTTCTTTATATCTTTAGTTATAGAAATCTTTTCTGGTAGGTTCCAGTCTTTCTCACCCGCAGTTGCTCTGTAAATAGTTGTAATTTTGGTGTGTGCCCGTGAGAGGAGGTGAGCTCGGCCCTCTTAGTCCACCGTCTTGGGAACTCATCAACAATAATTTCTTATTGTATGACTCTCCATTTGGTAGAATTCTAGTCCATTTAATTCTAGAGCAAAATTTTTAAAAATTTACATAAGTTATGTCATGATGGGAGAAAGGTTTTCTTTGTAAGCAGAATACCATTTTTTATCTAAGCACAGATCTATGAGCTATTCCTAATTTTCATGTCTATTTCATATTTTTTCATATGCTTTAAAATCCAGTTCTAATTCTCATTTTTATAGGGAGGAATAGTATCAAAATCACCTAAACTTTAATGGGGTAAAGGGTATTATTTCTTATAGAAAACCCAGGAATTTCTGAAACCCCATGTCTCCACATTGGCCCCTTGTGAAACTTAACTACTCTACAACTATCCTCTCCCAGCCCTCCCCACCCAAATGCCTTCAGTTAATCATGGAAGTTAAGCTTATGATCAAATGGTAGAGGTGAGGATGGGATCATTTTTTTTAACATCTTTATTGGAATATAATTGCTTTACAATGTTGTGTTAGTTTCTGCTCTGTGTTTCTTTAGGGAAAAATGCTATTTTAATTATGGGGAGTGGGGAGCCAGGGAGAAGGAATTCTTAAAGGGAAGCTACTAGGCTGTAGTTATTGTGGTACTTCTCAAGACCTTACATTTTATGTTATGATTATAGTTAAATTTCTAATTTGCCCTATTTATTTTTTAAGTACAGGACTGACTCCTACAGTAAAGTGAATGGGCTGGTATTTAGTTACTTAATAATTTTTTTAAACATCAGAAAGTAAACACTGTTCTGGTTCCTCCAGGGTGTTTCAGTAAAGACCAGGTATACTTGGATGGTATCCTGCAAATCCTCCGATATAGAGAGACCATTGACTTTCATCTACTTACGGCCCTGGGGAAGGTGAGTGAAACCAATGGCACAGAGTCTGCAAACGTACCAGGTCAACACTTCCTCTAGCTCATTTCATGATTAAATAAGACTCAAGTTGAAACTGTTTTTATTTTATTGTTGGAGTAGTTTTCCTTTATGTGATAACAGGAGGGAAGAAATGAGGTTCTGTCACAGAACCAAATTACAATATTCCTTTGTGGACAGTAAGAGATAAAGGAGAATAGGAAATTTGGGAATAAATTATTAGTTTTTATATGCATATTTTCCTAAAGTATTTTAAAGTAAGCTGCAGGTATAACTCTACTCCCCTTCATACTCCCAAGAATAAGGATATTCTGACATGACCATATGTTTTCTAAAGAAATTTATCATTGATTCCATATAATATCTAAAAAAAAGTCTATTTTATATTCCCCAGATCATCTCCAAAATGTCCTTTGTAGCTCTTTTTCATGACCCAGGATCCAGTCAAGATTTATGCCTTGCATTCGCTTATCATCTTTAATCTCTTAATTTTTAACAGTCCCCCTCACTGTAGTCTTTTTTTATGACATTTTTAAGAATCCAAGAAAATTTCCTTGAGAATTCCTTAGAATCTGGACTATCAGATTGTTTCCTTGTAATTAGCTTTAGGTTAAACATTTTGCCAAGAATACTAAAGTGAGTCATGCATTTTTCAGTGCATCACATTAGAGAGATATTTTGTCCCAGTATTGGTGATACTGTGTATAATAACCTGGGTTAGTTACTGCCAGATCTCTCCATTATAATGGTACCTTTCCTCCATTAATAAGTAATTTGTGGGATGATACCTTCAAATGTACCATTGTCTAATAGCCTTTCCAGAAATGATTTTAACATCAATTGATGCTTTTTGCCCAAATCAGTTACTACACTGGTGGTAGCAAAATAGAGATCTTTGAATTCTGTTACATTTCCCTCCACTTTTTTATTCAGCTCTTCCAATGGCTACTCCTGTGGTTTTTAAAACATGTCTACATGTTTTCAAGCAAAGTAAAATATTCTGGGCTCACCTTACACTTTTCCTACCCAAATCTGAGATTAGATGTTTCTCTAAGGAAGTCTTGATTCTTTTTAGTGGGAAATGGTATTTAGAAAACAAGACTTGAGCACGAGGTGTGCACGTCACTACTCGAGTGCTGATGCTTCTAGACCTTGTCAATGAGCATATCATATATTTGTTTTAAATCATAAGGGCATTCCCCATTCCATATATGTATCTCTTTTCTTAAAATGAGAACCTTATTTCCCAACATCAGTATATTTACTCATTCTCTCCTTATAATAAACTTAGAGTGGTTTAAGATAAATTACAAAACCATGCCAATATCAACACCAAACCTATTTCCTATAACCTATTACACTTAGTGATATACTCAATTTTAACTGAAATATAAATAAAACTTAATATGAACATGATTTATTTAAAGCCTTCCTACTGAACCAGGAAGAGTGTTGATCAGAAGATAATAGTTCTTAAAGCCAGCTATGTTTTGGAATTTAAAAGTTGAAAGATAAGTTTAGGGGTGAAACTTTAAGTTCTATAAATTAATATAATATTTATGAAAGACTGGCTTCTTACTCAAGTGAATGAAAGAGATGTGAAATTTTTAAAAATACTTAAATTCTCTTGCTTTTATTTTGATATTTTTAACAAAACATTTTATTTCTGCAATTAAATAGAAAAAGGAATTTAATGTATAATTGTGCTGATTTTCCTAACTTAATAATACAGTATTTACATTCTAATTATTTTCTTATTTATTTATTTTGGCTGCACTGGGTCTTAGTTGCAGCACGTGGGATCTTCATTGTGGCATGCGGGCTTCTTAGTTGTAGCATGCATGCAGGATCTAGTTCCCCAACCAGGGATCAAACCTGGGCCTCCTGCATTGAGAGCATGGAGTCTTACCCACTGGACCACCAGAGAAGTCCCAATTCTTATATTTAGATTTAGGCAGGAGATTTGTTTAGGTTCAGTCTTTCACACACATATATTAAGTTTAGTTGTTTAATTTCTAGACAAACTGTAGATCCAAGATAGATTGTTAAATCAAATACTGACTAGATTTTTAAAAATATAGTCATGGTCATTTCTCCAAAGAAGATATACAGACTGCCAACAAACACATGAAAGAATGCTCAACATCACTAATCATTAGAGAAATGCAAATCAAAACTACAATGAGATATCATCTCACACCAGTCAGAATGGCCATCATCAAAAAATCTAGAAACAATAAATGCTGGAGAGGGTAGGGAGAAAAGGGAACACTCTTGCACTGCTGGTGGGAATGTGAATTGGTACAGCCACTATGGAGAGCAGTATGGAGGTGCCTTAAAAAACTACAAATAGAACTACCATATGACCCAGCAATCCCACTACTGGGCATATACCCTGAGTAAACCATAATTCAAAAAGAGTCATGTACCAAAATGTTCATTGCAGCTCTATTTACAATAGCCAGGAGATGGAAACGACCTAAGTGTCCATCATCGGATGAATGGATAAAGAAGATGTGGCACATATATACAATGGAATATTACTCAGCCATAAAAAGAAACGAAATTGAGCTATTCGTAATGAGGTGGATAGACCTAGAGTCTGTCATACAGAGTGAAGTAAGTCAGAAAAAGAGAGACAAATACCGAATGCTGACAGATATATATGGAATTTAAGAAAACAATGTCATGAAGAACCTAGGGGTAAGACAGGAATAAAGACACAGACCTACTAGAGAATGGACTTGAGGATATGGGGAGGGGGAAGGGTAAGCTGTGACAAAGTGAGAGAGTGGCATGGACACATATACACTATCAAAGGTACGGTAGATAGCTAGTGGGAAGCAGCCGCATAGCACAGGGAGATCAGCTCAGTGCTTTGTGACCGCCTGGAGGGGTGGGATAGGGAGGGTGGGAGGGAGGGAGACGCAAGAGGGAAGAGATATGGGAAAATATGTATATATATATAACTGATTCATTTTGTTGTAAAGCAGGAACTAACACACCATTGTAAAGCAATTATACTCCAATAAAGATGTTAAAAATATATATATATATAGTCATGGTATGAAGGGGCAGATAAATACGTTCTTATTTAACCCAGTAAATTTTGTCATTTTCCAGGTATTAGGGAGTAATTTCAAAAACAGTCTACGTAAAGTTTCACTTAAGACTAAAGGAAGAAATTGCTCTTCAAAATTTAACTGGTAGTCACATTTAAAAAGTAACCCATCTTCCTTTTTTCAGGTCTCTTATGAAGATGTGGATCGCTTAAAAGGATTGGCAGTTACTGAAAACATGAGGGTCCCTCACTTTCTGCAGGACCATGGCCGATATATGGAACACTTAGAGAAGATCATGGAAGTGAATGAACTGACTGACAGGGAACTGAAAGATCTTATATATTAATTAGCATTCTTGCAAACATAGCTAAGCTATACCTCCATGTATATTACCAATTAGGTGCAGTTAGCACCAGCAGATTTATAAAAGAAGAATGACTGTTTACATGAGTTTTCTGAAGAATGGTCTGCAGTATTCAGCTGAATATTTAGGTTAAGAACAAACTTTAAACTGTCTCCCTAAAATGTTTCTATAGGCTACAGGGGAAAGTTACTCCTGTTTTCATCTGAATCTCAACAGAGTCAGATGAAAATACTGCTGATGGGTGTTTTTGAGGAGTCTTGGTCAAATTGAGTGATAAACTTCTGCCTGAGAACCAAGACCAGCTCTTACTAGAGATGGAATTCCTGTGTTGTTCAAACTTCAAGGTAATATTTTATTTAATAAATAATGGTAATTATTCTCCTTTGAAAAATTAGTCTGTGTTATGCTCCCAAAAGCTAGAAAATAAGAAATTTAAGGTTTCTTATTTTCTTATATGTTAAGTAATGTTAAAGGGAGGGGAAAAGCAATTTGAAAAGTTTTCATAGTTCTTTATTTTACACATTATTGTTTCACCTTATTAGCTTATAGGAACTAAAGTAGAAGATTACCATATTTTGTCCAGTTATCCCTTAACTAAATTTGGTTTTCATCTGCTGAAACATACTGGACACCTTCAAAATTTTAACCAAGTTTTAGGGTCTTTGCTTCCCAAGTCTCAGAGGTTTCTCTACATAAATCAAAATAGTTGGGGAAGAGAGAAGCTACTTACCTTTTTTATTAAATGGAGCAATGAGCAGGGGATATATCATGTAGGAGCTGGATGTTGACTGGGTAGCATCTACAGTAAGCTTGACTATATACTCTGAGAAACAGAATTTCTGGGCATTGTCATTTGATAAACTGGCTTTGTGATACTGGCTCAGTATTTTATCAAAATCTTTGACTTCATCAAGCCAATAATGACATACTTTGAATTTCAAGAATATGATTTACTACATTTCTCCTGCTAAAAGCTTATATCTAGCTTTGTAATTTATCAATTTCAATATATACTTGGATAGGTATAATAGGTATACTTGGGATCAAGTAGTTTTTCAAACTTAATCTGAAAGAATACTGCTGTAAACACCCCATTCAAAATTGCTACTGTAATTTCTACCCAAAGTCTATCTGAGAGTTTACCTCAATTCAGACTTAAATATGGTGCTAACACTGGTAGATGTATACTGCAAAGTCTGGTTCACATTCACATTTTAGAAACTCTTTTGCAGACAAGGTTATGGGATTTTTCTCTTTCACATATCTGGAAGGGCGCCTCAAAGAATGATATACTCCAGCAAACATGATATACTCTAATTGGCACCTGGTAGTTCTTGCAAAGCCACGTATTTCACCTTTGGCAGTAGCAGGCAAGGCCCTTTAGAGTACTGAAGGTGCCCATACCTGTGTCATGCTGGCTGGAGTGTGACCTGCACTGGGGGCACAGTGCACCAACACTAACCAGACACCAGAAGACCACTCTTGTCCTCTCAAGCATTATTTCTTTGTAGCAGAGTCATCCAGTTTTAGCTTTGTGTAGTGTTTTCTGACTTCATCTTCAGACTTATCAAAGGTAACTGTGAAAACAACGTCTTAGTGCTGGAGTTGAAGTACAGACAGAAATGGCAATATTTATGTCCTGTGACTTAAGGTCAAATGATTATAAATTCAGCATTTGTAGGCAATAACACTGCTAATCTTATGTTATGGTTTAAATATAAAGGAAAATCACAGCAGCCTTAATTTCCTATTGGTAGGATTGTTTGTAGTGGTTGTAGTCCCTGAATTTTAAAATGGATAGATATTACGTGATCTGAAAAAGGAAACACTTTCTTGCCTTACTGCTTTGGTATAAGGACAAAAAATATGAGCACTATCCAGACCAAAAAAAAAGACCTTAAATCACATTAAGATATTTCAAAGGTTAGCAATGAACCAAAAGTAGTTTAAGATTAGCAGAAATACTTAAATAAAGAGCTCTAAGCTTTAAAAGTTGAGATTGAATGTTTATTCTTTTTCTTGAAATAGCATTAAGGTCAGTTTTCTCTAAAATGAAAGTTTTTATAAATAGAAAATTACAACAGCAGTACTTAGGAGAATAGTTGAAGATCATACTCGTTTTAATTAGAATAGTCATTTACTATAGGCTATTGATCATTAGGATTTCATCAATTTTTTCCACTGAAATTCTAACATATAGTTGTATCAAATACAAATTCTAATAAACTGTTTGTTAGGTTTTCACACCAGACAGTTGCAAAGTAAAATAGTCTGCAAACATAAATCCATAGTCTTCATTTCTTTATATTTTCAAACTTTGAGCATTTTGTGTCTAGCTGTAATAGAAATAAATAGCACTGAGGTTCTTAAATGAACTATTTGGATATATATGCATGCAAACTTCTGTTCTTTTAAAACCTAATTATATTTTTATTGTGGTATTTCTGGGGTTTTTATTGTAATTATTGAAAATATCATCAATCATCTTTGTCTTCTAGTATTCTTATTTATAGAGAAATATATTTGCCACACTCTACCTTTCCCCTAATTAGTTCCCCTAATTAGCATATACTCCCATGGGGCATAGGGAAAAGGAGAGAGGGAAAATTCTGTCTTAATTTACTACCCTGTTTGTTTATTGAATAAACTTTTATGCAGAACCAACTGAGGAGCAGAATCTGTGCTGAGTGTCAGAGGTCCTCTGATGAAGACAAGAAATGTTCCACAGTCCAGTGAGGAAGAGTGGCACACACCCAGGTTACAGCACTGCCAGTACCATACCCAAAAAGTGTTACCAAAAGAATGTAAACCATAGTAAATGGGCCTGTTCATGTGTTTGAAGCACAGAGACAAAGATCACTTGCAAAGTAGTGAGTATTTACAGTATTTTATTACCACTCTTTGCGAGGCTTGTTTGGAACCTGAGCAACTTTAGCCTAGGGGAAGGAGTAGACCAAGAATACAGTTGCTTGGGTCATCACAGGCCCTGAGGAGATCCTTTGAGCCCTTCAGCAGATGCGCAAGGGAGTCAGCACTTTATCCTTAAGTGTCTTGGTCTTTGAATTCAAACCTTTATGGCACTTGTGAAAACCTTGTCAGCTGGCTATGATTTCATTCATTTTTGTTCACTCTGATTCTAGTGGCTAAAGGAATTAATATCTTGAAACTGCCAGGATGAGAAATACCAGTGTTTGTTAGCTAGCTTTAAGAATATGTGGAATTTCAAGTATGCAGAGGGAAAAGCACATGAAGAGGAAGCAAGAGGGCAGCCATCTGCAAGCCAAGGAGAGAGGCCCCAAACAGATCCTTCCCTTATGGTTCTCAGGAAAAATCAAGCTTTCCAACACCTTGATCTTGAACTTCTAGCCTTCAGAACTGAAAAGAATTGTACCTAAAAGAGGACGAAGCAAAGAGCAGAAATCTGACCACTAAGAGATTACTGAGCATTCATTTCTTCCCAGCTATCCAGTTATCCTAATAAAAGATGACCAGCTTCAGAAGTGACATCAGCATGGCTGAAAAAGCTTCCCCTCATTTGTGTCCTCCACCCACAGCAACTTGGTATCCATATACAGACAGAAATGACCTGGTGGGAGCTTAGGGATCCAACACCAAGCAACTTTGTAGGAATCGCCAGGCAACCTGGTAGGAATCTTTCCTGCCCATGCATTGGCTTATAGGCATACAGACCTAGGTCCTGGCATGGACCCTGCAGTGGCCTGCGAACCAGCTCCAGGCCCTCTCGGCTGCAGTGTGGAAACCCTTGGAAAGTACTATCTTAGACAATCACCCACAGACAAGAGCACCTTTGTGAAAGTCTGGGTTTCCAGTGAAGAATTTTCAGCACATTTTTGGAGCAATAAATGAGTTTAGATGCTTTGAAGAGGAACAGTTTGATTTTATCCTCATTATCCTTCCCTCAAGGTGGCACAGTTCAGGGCCAAGAGAGACCTTCTCAGCCCGTGACTTCTCCTGGAGGGGAAAATGCAAGGGACTGAGTACCCAGCTTCTCCAACTATGTGGGAAGCCACCAAAGAGGCCCATTTCTCTCTTGCCTCATCCAGACTACTGAATCTTGAGCTGCATGATGAGGGGGTGGGAAGGTGCTAGGAGAATAGCAGATAGGACTCTTGGAGGGCATTAAAGAGTCACAGAGCCTACTAACTCACAGTCCCATCAAGAAGCTAGCCCACATGGCACTGGGGACACCTTACCTGTGGGTTTCCCTGACCAGCCCATGGGAACCAGTAGTGCTCCATGTGCCTCACCCACACACATCCCCCACCCTGTGGCTTCCTGTCTCACTCCTGATAGCATCAAGAGCAAGCTTTGGCAGACGGCTAGTGAACATGCAAAAAAAGCCCAACTGAATCTGCAGGCCCAAGGGAGACCACAAATGTGAGCTTTAGCCCCACACTTGGGAAAGCAGAAGGGAGGTCGTCAGCACCTAACCTTTTGCATTGCAGACTCAAGAGAAGATATACAAGCTTAAGGATTCTGCCATAAGAGGCCAAGAAGTGTGGAGCAGGCTTACCCATAGCTGATCTGAGGAAGCCTCAGAATCTCTAGCAGGGATGACTAAAGTTAGTTCTCTGCTGAAGCAGTTAGTAAAGACTAGAGGAAGCAACTGCTATTTCAGATACAAAGACAACAAAGCAAAACTTAAGAAAACATGACACTACCAAAGGATTATGATAATCCAGTAATTGATTCCAAAGACATGGAGATCTGTGATTTACCTGATAAAGAATGAAAAATAACTGTTTAAGGAAGCTCAGTGAGCTACAAGAATAGACAATTTGATGAAATCAAGAAATACTTGAATAAAATGAGCAGTTTAACAAAAATCATAAAGGACCAAACAGAAATTCTGAAGTAGAAAAATACAGTGAATGAAATGAAAAATATAGTAGCATCAATATCAGAATGTGTCAATCAGAAGAAAGAATCTGTGAGGTAGAAGATGGGAGCTTTGAGATTATTCAGTCAGAGGAAAACAAAAAACAATGGAAAAGAATAATGAAAGCCTATGTGATCTATGGGATACAATCAAAAGAAACAACTTGCAAATTATTAGAGTTTCAGAGGGAGAAGGGGGCAGACAGCTCATTAAAGAAGTAATGGCTGAGAACTTCCCAAATCTGAGGGAAAATCTGGATATCCAAGTTCATAAGGTAACCAAACTCAAAGAGATCCTCTTCAAGACATGCTATAATAAAACTATAAAAGACAAAGAGAATCTTAAAAGCAGCAAGAGAAAAGAAGCTTGTAACTTAAAAGGGACCCTCCATACTGTTATTAGCAGATTTCTCAGTGAAAACCTTACAGGCCAGGAGGCAGTGGGGTGATATATTCAAAGTGCTGAGAGAAAACTGCCAACCAAGAATACTCTGGCAAAGTTTTCCATCAGAAATGAAGGAGAGATAAAGACTTGCCCACACAGACTAAAGCTGAGAGAGTTCATTACCACTGGATCTGCCTTCCAAGAGGTGCTTCCAAGCACAATCTCAAAAGGATGTTTTTGATAAGTTGATTTTAGAGCTCTATTAGAAAATACATGAAAATGTTAAAAGCATATATATCCTTAACCCAACAATTCCTCAATAAGTACACACACACACACACACTATCACACACTTATTCATCATATATATGTTGCACACATATGCAAAAATATATGTACACATAAATCTGTGCAAAGATATGTATCTTTGCACTGCAACATTGTGGTAAAAATAGAGTGGAAGCAAGCTTAAAATTCATTAGCAAGGAACTAGTTAGATGACATATTTATATGTTAAAACTATATAGCCTATTTAAAAATAGAGTAGGCCTGTACATATTGATTTAGATTCTACATCATTGTAGAACAATTTCCAAAATCTATTGTTAAGTAAAAAGCATGTTTCAGAATGGTGTTTGAAGTCAGTTTCTATTTGATTTTTTAAAAGGGTGGGGGGACGGTATGTGTATGTACATGTACACTTGTATAGTCACAGAACATCTCTGGTAGGCTACATGAGATACAGGTAAGAGTGGTGACATTGAAGGACTAGGAGTCAGGAGTAAGAAGGAAACTCACTTTTACTCCATACTATTTTTATTTGACTTTACTATATGCACATATGGTCTTTAAATCTTTCTTGCATTTTTGAGTTCATGTTTATTGTTTTATTCAGTGTGTTAGCAGAATTCTAGATTTAATCACTGCATTTTGAAATTTTTAAAATTTCATATTAATAAATGCAATAAAATGATACAAATTCTCCTTCCCACCTGTGGCTCCCATCCCTGTTCTCTCCCACCAGAGATAACTACTATTTTCAGTTTCTTATAAAACTTATCAGTTTGTGCATACACAGGCAAACACAAATATATGTATATATATCTCCTCCTCATCCTTCATCATTTTTTACAACAGTAGATTACTACTGTATAAATGATTCTGCATGCACTGCTATTTCCAGTTAGTTACATACCTTAGAACCAAAATCACAAGCCAAGAAAAAAAACTGGACATTTTTTAAATTAAATACTCTTGAAGGAGGAGACAAGATGGCAGAGTCGAAGGACTTGAATTCACCTCCTATCACAAAAACACCAAAATCACAACTAACTGATGAACAACCATAGACGCAAAAACTGGAACCTACCAAAAAAGGTACTCTACGTCCAAAGACAAAACCACAATGAGATGGTAGGAGGGGCACTTTTGTGATACCAAATCCCATACCTGCCAGGTAGGCGACACACAGGAAAATAATTATATCACGGGGCTCTCCCACAGGACTGAGAGTTCTGAGCCCCAGCCTGGGGTCTGGCATCAGGAGGAGGAGCTCACAGAGCATTTGGCTTTGAAGGCCAGCAGGGCTTGAGTGCAGGAGCTCCACAGGACTGAGGGAAACAGAGACTGCACTCTTGGGGAGCACACACACACAAGGTATCATGAGCACTGGGAACCACCGCAAAGTAGTGACTCCATAGCAGCCTGGGCCAGACCCACCTGCAGGTCTTGGAGAGTCTCCTGGGGAGGCAGGAGTCAGCTGCGGCTCACTGTGGGGGTAAAGACACTGGTGGTGGAGGCCCCAGGGAGTATTCATCAGTGTGAGCTCTCCCAGAGGTTGCCATTTCGGCAGTGAGACCTGGCCCTACCCAACAGCCTGTAGGCTTCAGTGCTGGGCCACCTCAGGTCAAACAACCAACAGAGTGGGAACACAGCCCCACCTATAGCAGGCAGCCTGTCTAAAGTCATGAGTCCACAGCTGCCTCTAAACACACCCCCTTGAAGTGGCCCTGCCCACCAGAGGTACAAGACCCAGCTCCACCCACCAGTCCCTCCCACCAGGAAGCCTGCACAAACCCCCAGAACCACCTCACCCACGAGGGGACAGGCAGCAGAAGCAAGAGGAACTACAAACCTGTAGCCTGAGATGGAGACCACAAACAAAGTTCAACAAAATGAGATGGCAAAGAAATATGGTCCAGATGAAGGAACAGTGTAAAACCCCAGAAACAACTAGGTGAAGTGGAGATAGGCAATCTGCCTGAATAAGAATTCAGAGTAATGATAGTAAAGTTGATCCAAGATCTTAGAGAAAGAGTGGAAGCACAGACTGAGAAGATACAAGAAATGTTTAACAAAGAGCTAGAAG